AGACTTAGAGCTCTTTAAAGATTAAGCTGTTACTTGGTACTATTATTTCTGTTTTTCCTATGTTTATCTTCTTTGTAACCATTTTTAAGATCTATATTTTGCTAGCAGTTAAGAAATAGAACAATAGCCATTGCAACCATATGATTTATAAGCTTCCTCAATAAACCTGTAACTGTTTAAGCTTTAACCTGACTCCTTCAGTTGCTGTAACAGAACCAGGCACAATTTAAAAGAACTTCAGCCGGTCATTAGGGAGAGATATAGGGAGAGCTTGGGCGTTTGGATTTGTGTCACACCCAGGTGGCAGAATCCACTGGGACACCTTTCAGTTTTTCCCAAGGCTGCCCGCTGCGAAAGAATTACGAATTCTAGCAGCTGAAATCTAAGGTGTTATAAGCTCTCCCTGTACACTTATTGGGCACCTGTCAGCCTCCTCCAGGTTGCCTGCTGCAAGGGACCCCGGTCTCAGCAGTTAAAGTCTCGGGTGTATAGCACATACACACTGCCCTGACCGTTGGCTGACAAGTCCCTGTCATTGAAGTTTTTTACGAACAGGCTGGATCAATATCCGTCATCGTTGGTCTTGGTTTGATTGGTCCTGCCTCAGTGCTGGAACTTGGCTTTAAGGACTTCTCAAGGTCCATTCTAGCCCTACATTTCTATGATTTTATGAATTTAGATTGAGCCCAGGTGATTTTAGTTAGACAAAAACATTCCAGTCCTCAGGAAACTAACTCATTTAGTGCCATTGGCAGAGAACAAGAGAGTCTGAGGTACCACAAATGCCTGAATCCCCTGCAATAGCAGGCAACAGATTAGTTAAGGCAGTGTTTCTTGAACGTTTTAAGACCGAGGAACACCAAACAATAATTTTTCTTTGTGAGGAAAGTTATTGCGCAAAAAAAAAAAAAAAGGTTAACTGCCCCTTTAAGGACGGCCATTTTGAATTATGTTGTTCTCCGCAGCACACGTCCGACTGGCTCCGGTGGATCTAGGTTGAATATTAGGAAAAACTTTCACTAGGAGGGTGCTGAAGTACTGAAATGGGTTACCTAGGGAGATGGTGGAATCTCCATCCCTAGAGGTTTTTAAGTCAGGGTATGTCTACACTACCACCCTAGTTCAAACTAGGGTGGTTAATGTAGTCAACCGGAGTTACAAATGAAGCCCGGGATTTGAATTTCCCGGGCTTAATTTGCATGTTGCCGGGCGCCGCCATTTTTAAATGTCCGCTAGTTCGGACTCCATGCCCGCGGTTACACGCGGCACGAACTAGATAGTTCAGATTAGGCTTCCTATTCCGAACTATCTGTACACCTCGTTCCATGAGGAGTAACGGTAGTTCGGAATAGGAAGCTTAATCCGAACTACCTACTTCGTGCCGCGCGTAGCCGTGGGCACGGAGTCCGAACTAGCAGACATTTAAAAATGGCGGCGCCCGGCAACGTGCAAATGAAGCCTGGGAAATTCAAATCCCAGTCTTCATTTGCAACTCTGGTTGACTACATTAACCACCCTAGTTTGAACTAGGGTGGTAGTGTAGACATACCCTGACTTAAAAACCTCTAGGGATGGAGATTCCACCATCTCCCTAGGTAACCCATTTCAGTACTTCAGCACCCTCCTAGTGAAAGTTTTTCCTAATATTCAACCTAGATCTCCCCCACTGTAACTTGAGACCATTTGCTCCTTGTTCTGCCATCTGTCACTACTGAGAACAACCTCTCTCCATCCTTTCTGGAACTTCCCTTTAGGAAGTTGAAGGCCGCCATTAAATTCCCACCTCACTCTTCTCTTCTGCAGACTAAACAAACCCAAATCCCTCAGTCTCTCCTCAGAGGTCATGTGATCCAGCCCCCTAATCATTTTGGTTGCTCTCCACTGGACCCTCTCCAATGTGTCCACATCCTTTCTGTAGAGGGGGCTCAGAACTGAACGCAATACTCCAGATGTGGCCTCACCAGTGCCGAATAAAGGAAAACAATCACTTCTCTAGATCTGCTGGCAATGTTCCTCCTAATGCACCCCAATATTCCATTAGCCTTTTTGGCTACAAGGGCACACTGTTGACTCATATCCACCTTCTCATCTACTGTAATCACCAGGTCCTTTTCTGCCGAACTGCTACTTAGCCAGCCAGTCCCCAGCCTGCATCAATGGTTGGGATTCTTCTGTCCCAAGTGCAGGACTCTGCACTTGTCCTTGTTGAACCCCATCAGATTTCTTTTGGTCCAATCCTCTAATCTGTCTAGGTCACTCTGGACCCTATCCCTGCCATCCAACGTATCTACCTCTCCCCCTAGCTTAGTCATCTGCAGACTTGCTGAGGGTGCAATCAATCCCTTCATCCAGGTAATTAATAAAGATGTTGAACAAAACCAGCCCTAGAATCAATCCTTGGGGCACGCCACTTGAAACTGAACCCTAATCTGACATCAAGCTGTTGATCACTACCCGGTGGTCCCGGCAATCTAGCCAGCTTTCTATCTACCTTACAGTCCATTTATCCACTCCATAGTTCCTTAACTTGCTGGCAAGAATATTGTGGAAGACTGTATCAAAAGCTTTGCTAAAGTCAAGATATATCACAACCACTGACTTCCCCATATTGACAGAGCCAGTTCCCTCATCATAGAAGCTAATCAGATTAGTCAGGCATGACTTGCCCTTGGTGAATCCATGTTGACTATTCCTGATCACTTTCCCCTCTTCCAAGTGCTTCAGAATGGATTCCTTGAGGATCCCCCTCCATGATTTTTCAGGGGACTGAGGTAAGGCTGACTGGTCTGTAGTTCCCTGGATTGTCCTTCTTCTCTTTTTAAAGATGGGAACTACATTTGCCTTTTTCCAATCAACCGGGATCTCTCCCGATCTCCATGAGTTTTCAAAGATAATGACCAAAGGCTCTGCAATGACATTTGCAAACTCCTTCAGTACCCTTGGATGCATTAAATCCAGACCCATGGATTTGTGTATGTCTAGCTTTTTTAAATAGTTCTTAACCTGTTCTTTCTCCACCAAGGGCTGTCCTCCTCCTTTCCATACTCCGTTACCTAGTGCATTTGTCTGGGAGCTGAACTTGTCTGTGAAAACAGAGACAAAAAAAGCATTGAGTACTTCAGCTTTTCCCACATCATCTGTCACTAGATTACCTCCCTCATCCAGTAAAGGCCCAACACCATCTCTGATCACCTTCTATTGCTAACATGCCTTTAGAAACCTTTCTTGTTACCCTTCACATCCTTTGCTAGTTACAATTCCAATTGCGCTTTCGCCTTCCTGATTACTCTCCTGCATTCTCAAGCAATATATTTATACTCCTTAGTCATCTGTCCAAGTTTCCACTTCTTAGAAGCTTTCTTTTTATGTTTAAGCTCACCAAGGATTTCACCGGTAAGCCAATCTGGTCACCTACTTTGCTTTTCTTATTGCACATTGGGATGGTTTCTTCCTGTGCCTTCTTTAAAATACTGATAGCTTTCCTGGATCGACAACCCTTGCTGGAGAGAGAGGCAAAACTTCCACAAACTCCTAGCCAGTCTGACATGGTGGGAGGGGAGAACGTTCCTGATCCATAATCTGCGGGTCTGTACGACCCTGAGCACATCAGGCAGGCACTGAGAAAAGGAGGGGAAAAATTCAACAACCTTAGAATACATCTGGGAGATTGTGTAGCTGAGCAAAAATTTCTTCCTGACCCTGCAGGTCAGGAATCTCTGAAGCATGAGATCTGATTTGTTGCTCCTGGCCCTGAGTTCCAGCATCCCGGACGTAAGAAAGAGGGCTGACAACATGGCATGGCGGAGACAATAGGAATGGGATTCACTTTAGCACTTAGCACTTCTACCATTCTGGGCTGCAAAGATCCCTTCAGATAAATGTGGTGATGCTGACATAACTTATCCTGGGGTTTGCATCATGTGCTGTAGGCACTGTCTGGGTGATACAAAAAGGTGGATTAATGGTACTTTGCCATGCCTGGCACCCTGCTATCCCTACCTTGCATCTTCTGGGGTGCACCTCTTGGAAGATGAAACGTAGAATGCAGCCTTAGAAGAATTGCTCACAATACTACTTTGGAAAGAATTTGGCGCTGGCTCAGAAACCAAGTTTCATGCTAGGTCCAACAAGGAGAAGGATACCTTTCAGCATGCAAATGAATTTATTCCACTCAAAGAAAATCAGTATCAGTAGCTCAGCCCTTGAAAACCCCCTCTGGTGAAATCATGAATGATTTGATACATTCATCATAAGGATGAAAGGTTTGTGCTAGGAACATATTTCTAGCATTAACATTCAAGAGGGAAATTGCAGTGATTTGGCTGGTGGATGCTGAAATCTGCATGAATATTGTATATTTTCACTTGAAGTACTTGGTTTCTGATCATTTCTTTGTTTGCTAGCGACTGAAGGGCACTGGTGGTCAGCTATATATTCTGCCTCACTCTATGAGGCTAGAGAGCAGCAGCAACAGAAGCAGAGAAAAACAAAACTGCAAAAGAGGATAGCCATAAACAAAGCAAATTGGTAGCACTAAAATAATGAATTCTATTTTTTTTCTGTCAAACTTGGGATTGCCTCATTTATGAACATCCTCAGTGGTAAAACCCAGACTCCCTTTTTTATTTTATTGCTTGTTTTTCAATCAGAAGCAAAAAGCTAACAGCGCCTGTGACAACTCAGCCAACTCGTGGGGTTCATATGTCCACCATCACAACAGTCATACGGACAGGAGGAGACTGGACCACTGGCCTCTTTGATATCTGCAGTGACAAGCGTGTTTGTAAGAGTTTGCAGTGTTTTATCATTGCTTTCATTCTTCCTTTGGGGATAAATTCAAGTAACGCGGGGAGGTAAACAAAATGAGACTTCCATTGACCAGTTATGAGACACTGGAGACTGAAGACTCAGATCATCCATCATGGCTGGTTTAGGGGTAATGAAATTAATATTACAGAGACGCTCAATAAATAAATAGTCAATTAATAAAAACAACGCTTGTGAAAGCATCATTAATGGATTCTATCATTCTATTTTGGGTGTATCTCATTATCTCATTTTGTCAGTGGGGAAACTGAGGGATCAAAAGATTAAGTGTCTCACTGAAGCTAACGCAGTGAATCAGCAGTGGAATCAGGAATACACCAGTTCTCCTGATTCCAATGCAGGGGCTCAAAGCAGTAGAATGCCAGTCGCAGAATCCTTGGTTGTTCCATGTTTGTTTTCTTACTGGTTCTCCATGTAAATGAGTGTCTAAGAGAACAAAGTATTAGCCAGCATAATGCAGGAACTCATTCAGGAATTTACAAATAATCTTTCACACACGCGTTCGCCCTTGGTTTTCCTGGTACATCCTGGAAGCTTCCTCTCCACAGTCCTGCTAATGAATTACCCTGCTGACTTTCACTTGCCAGTTCTGTGCCTTTCCTAAATAGGGGACACCCATCCTATTATAATGCAAGGTGATTTGTAATGTGGGCAAATGATGAGATCAGCACCAACTCTCTGAGGGTACGTCTAGACTACGTGCCTCTGGCGACAGAGCATGTAGATTAGGCTATCTGGCATAGGAAAATGAAGCAGTGATTTAAATAATCGCTGCTTCGTTTAAATTTAAATGGCTGCCACGCTGAGCCGATCAGCTGTTTGTCGGCTCAGTACAGTAGTCTGGACGCTAATAAGAATTCTTAGTAGGCAATTAGAGAGGAAGAGTACTAACAGTACAAATCTGCTGTTAGTATTCTTCCTCTCTAATTGCCTACTAATGTTTCTTATCTGCCTCTTTTGACTATCCAGTCTTTAGGTGCTTATAGACTATTTGTTTTTCCTGTTACATTCCAGCTCTGCTTTCCCCTTCATATTTTTATACCCAACTGTCTCTTCTTGGTCCCTCACTCCTATTTTTTCCTCCCCCCCCACCCTTCTCCCTATTTATTTTAGTTCTGGACATCCAACACTCTGGTATCTGAAGAAGTGGGCTGTGCCCACGGAAGCTCATGATACCATCTGCATGTTTTGTTAGTCTTTAAAGTGCTACCAGACCATTTGTTGTTTTTTAAGTTTAACCAACTCTCTACTTTTTCTCTAATTTACTTGTGACAGTGATTACCATAACTGCCCTGCATTCTGGAATGGTCCCTAATTGGAATGGCTAGTGTTCCCATTGCCAGAAGGAAGTGGGAGGAAATGAGTTCTTGTTTATTGTCCTGCCCTGGGGGCTGAATTAAACCACATCAGTACTTGGGAGAACAAAGGAAGAAGGTCTGAAAGCCTCGATAGCTCCTGCCAACTCAGTTTGCTCTTGTGCATTAGTGAATTGCTTGAAGCCATATTATTTGGTGAGGTAGTTTGTACTTTCTGGTGCCATCGCTGTCAGTACTGATTACAGTCTTAAATGCAGGGGACCCCCTGAACCAGTGCCCCCGCACCCATCTAGTTTTCTGCCAAAGCTGCCAACTAACTTTAAATAGTTGATCAGTTCTTGAAGATAATCTCTAAAATATTGAGAACAATCCTCATCAAAAGAGAATTGATTCTGAGAGGTATCATTTTAAGAGGAGTTACTCTCGCCAATACGAAGGCATTCCTTCAGATAACCAGAGTAAGATAGTACTGAGGGTACGTCTAGACTACATGGCTCCATCGACGGAGCCATGTAGATTTGTTTGTTCAGCAAAGGGAAATGAAGCCGCGATTTAAATAAGCCCCTCCAGAACCTAGATCAGTAGACTTTGGTTTAGGCATTCTCTATGTGACTGCAGGCCATCAATTTAAGTTATGCAGCTTAATGAATAACATAGCTAAAGTTGATGTACATAGGCCTGCTTGATGTGGTATCTTCACCATGATAAAGTGACAGCTGATGCCCTTCCATCAACTCCACTTACTCTTCTTGTTTTGGTGGAGTATTGGAGTCAGTGGGCGAGCGCTCAGCACTTGATTTATCATGTCCTTGTAGATAAATCAGCTCCCGCTGGATTGATTGCTGTCTGTTGATCCAGCTTGAAGTTAGACATTCCCTCTTAGGGTATGGGGCTAACAATAAAAGTGTAAGTGTTTGGGTTCTCACACCACCCTTCCCCATGAGTTTTCAGAGTCCTGGCACCAGCCTGAATGTGAATATCTACACTGCTATTCTGAGCACATTAGCCTGACTTCTGCAACCAACCCTAAGTCAATCGCCCTGGTTTCTGAGATGTTGTGCAGTGGATCACAGAGCAAACATACCCTCAGTCTCTCGGGGCATGTCTGCATTGCTGCTGGGAGCAGGTCTGCCTGGGGAGTAGTTCGGGCTAGCAGCCAGAGTCCAAGCTCCCCCGAATCCCTGGATCTGAGCGTGAGTGTCTAGCCCACACTGCTGCTTGTGTCCCTGTGTCCTCCCTGCTCTTCTTAGCATTCTAACTTGAGTCAGCTTCTGTCTACCAGGCTGGGACATACGCTGCCATGTAGACATACCCTCTATGTCTCAGATCCTCCTTTGTAAAACAGGGCTCATGGCACTGCCATTTCTTCATAGGACAAATATGTGACACACTGTGAGATGCCCAGATACTCTGGTGATTGGGGCCAGACAACTCCCTTAATTAGATTTTGATTAGCCCCTGCCTCCCCCCCAAATAGGTCAATTCTCCAGAGCTGAAAAGCGAGTTTAATTGTGTGATTTTTCCCTGATGGAAGGAAGTGGGGATTGTTGAGTGATTAAGGCACAGGACTTGGGAATCCTGGGTTCTTCTCCAGGCTCTGCTAAAGACATGCGGTAGCTTAATTTTTCTTAATTTCTCTGTCCCTCAGATTTCCCATTTGCAAAGTGTTAATGATATCTTCACCACACTGTGACATTACACTGAATTCTTGTATATCTACCAAGGGTATTGATGTCCTTAGGTAGGAGACATGGAAAGTATTAATTTCTATTTAAAAACTGATTCTTGAACTTGCTCAATATTAAATTAATTTTAATGCTGCCATTCTTTTCAATTAGAGAATAAATTTACTTGTATGGTGACAGATCCATATAGGCTATGTCTAAACTACACCCCTCTGTCGGCAGAGGGATGTAAATTAGACATATCGAAAATGCAAATGAAGCCACAATTTAAATATCCCATGCTTCATTTGCATAATAGCAGATGCTGCTTTTTTTCAAAATGGGACTTTTCGAAAAAAAAAAACCATTTTAGACGGGGCATTTTCAACAGAAATGCCCCTTTTTGAAAGATCCTGTACTCATTTTTTTTAGGAGTACAGGATCTTTTGAAACAGGGCATTTCTGTCAAAAAGTCACCGTCTAAACTGCCATTTTTTTAAAAAGCCCCGTTTTGAAAAAAGCAGCGGCAGCCATTATGCAAATGAAGCACGGGGTATTTAAATGCCAGCTTCTTTTGCACTTCTGATACATCTAATTTACATCCCTCTGCTGACAGAGGGGTGTAGTTTAGACATAGCCGTAGAGTGATTGGAGTTCCTGGTGATACTGAGGAGTTGAAATGATAGGCGAGAAAGGGCTAAATTTCTGGCTTTCTCCTCTTCTTCCTTACTTTAGTCTAATCAAATAATGGAAAAGTGAAAACACATTATTTCCAACTTTCCATTTGCTTTGGACTTAAGTCCCTTTCCAACCGAAAAAATGGCAGGATAACCCAGAGCTGTAATTTTTGTGTGCCCATGGGCCTGCATGTAGAAGACATTTAAGCAAATATACTCTTTACTCCCTTATTGAATGTGGTCATAAATTATGTGAAGTGAGCAATAGAATACATAAGCCCCTTTATACTGCAGCTGTGTTAAATTTTGACTGCCATATGAATTCGTTTTGCTGAAACCACTTATAATATCACATTAGCCATCGTACTGGAAAATTTAAGTATAGTTGGGCCAGATGCCTGGATAGCGGTCAGCACTAACATCATCCATGGAAGTCAGCAGGA